GTTTAAATTACATTTACAGATGGGAAGAGTGAGGGAATAGGTTTATATGAGCCACAGATCCATTTTGGAAGTTACGGAATGGCTGATGAGCGCCATCTCCTTGGCTACACATTTATAGCCGTGTAAGTAGAGGTATACCGAACTTGTGTAAACTTAGTGCCATAATGATCAATGGATTGTACTTGCTTATGACATCATACTTGACCAAGTATATACCCATAGTCAGTATTTAGTAGTACTAATACGATCAATAAGAGTAATGATAATGCACTGACTTGAGACAAAGACAATCTGGCGCCCAGAACTAAATACTCGAAACCAGGTCACGTTTGCTGCGACATTCCTTTCTTGGTCCTTTCAGATAGTTGACTGGACAAAGCAAGACGTGCAGAGTCTTGACTAGAAGGACGATGTCTCCTTCCTCGCTCAGTAGTTCGACTAATGTTTAGGCTCTCCATGATATAATTTTATTATTTCTCTGATGATTGTTTGGTGAGGCATGTCAAGATTCCTGCTGAAAGCAAGGACGCCCATAGCTAGTTTCAGCGCGCCAAGATTGTTAAACAGGATATCAATGTTGAAGCTGATATTTTTTATGGCGATGTACTAGTAAACGGGAAAGCGATGGCTGTAAATCAGGGGATGCCATTCACCAAGTCGATAATTTAAGGAGAAACATTTTGGGAAACCACTGCACGCACCGTGCACATATCCAGAATAACAATCCAACAGACTACATTGCCAGGATGAAGTGAAACAGAGGGCTTCCTTATTGCGGGGGCGTGGGGTAGCATAGTGGTTAAAGCATTCGCTCGTCACGCCGAAGACCCGGGGTAATACACATGGGTAATATGTGCGAAGCCCATTTCTGGTGTCCCCCGCCGTGATATTGCTGGATCATTGCTAAAGACGGCTTAAAACCCAACTCACTCACTCACTTATTGCTTGCCTGGACCTGTGATTCTTACAGAGAATGTTTAACATGAAATATTCACTTTTTAATGAATTCACTGAGACTGTTCAACACCTTGTTAATGGATGTCCTTCCTTGGCACAAACAGCGTATCTTAAACGACACGAAGGCATGACGTTGTTTATATTACAATATATGACAGTGGCATCGGCCGCGGGGTCCACCCATGGTGCGACAATGAACATGTCATGGGCGTCATGGAAAATAGACACTTTAAAAAATGGTTGGAACAGACCTATATACACCTAAAGAAAAATCCATGCCAACAAACCTCATCTTCTCCTTTTTGATAAAGCTAATGAAATTATTCATGCTTTTGAATTTTCTGTCCCGTTTAAAAGAAAGGTGATTCTGGGAAAGCATGCTAAATATGAGGACCTCATCTTTAATGTCTCACTTGCGTCCTACATGCACTGTCGTTAGATTCCTCATTGTTCTCGATGCCCTTGGTTTCGTAGTTCCTGATCTCTTGGAGCAGTTCAAGAGCATGACCGGGTCCTCCCCTGAGAGTACAGCTCTTTGCCCTCTAGCTGGTAATGCTGAAGGCTACAGTGTTGGGGCGTCTCCATTTGTTCCGGAACGTTCTCAGTTCGACACAGCAACGCTTCCTTTGTGATGTTCCATTCGCTGTCAGGGCTGCCCGCAGACGGGACAAGGGCCATGAGCTGAATCATGTGAATATGAATCAAACTAGCCTGACTGAGTGACATTAGTCAATATAGTTCCTATAGTTTATAAAAAGGAAGTCACTCTCGTCAGTGAAACGCAGCTTTCGTTAGGAAGTTACATAAAACCAATTAATATTTTCCCATAGACTTCCGTTGTAATGTAATATTGTCTTGAAAAATAACCGGGCCCCGGGATCATGATAGTGTCTTAAAAATGCTTAGCACGAAATTTGTCTTAACTCTACTCAGTGGCAATCTTAGAAATTTAGATTTTCTCAAAGACCAAGCTTCATGACCCCCAATTAGTCGTAAGTCTAATTTTTAAGAAATAAAAATAAAATATGTTTTATACTTTTCTAAGACAAAATATGGACTTACACGTTCATGATCCTAGGACCAGGCCGAATGTGTATTTATATATGTATATGCACAGTATTGTCTTAAAGCCTCAATAAATGCACAAATGTAGGCAAGGTAAATCAATTCCGTCTCGAGTAGTGGAATAATCCTGCAATATCACAGCGGGGGAGACGATAAATGGGCTTCACACAATGTACTCTTTGGCGAGACGAGAGAACGTTGTAACCACTAAGCTATCTTACAAACCGAAACATGAGTCTCATAACCTATTCAGACAATGACCTACTTTTCAGCCGATCCGAAATTTCTTGTGTGAAAGAGAAAATAGACATCACACACAACTATGGTTACACTGGATTCCAATTCCAATTTTGTCAAAGCTCGCTGTACGACAGAGCACGTAGTGTTGCAATATACAAGTGATTAGATGTATCAAATAATACTGATGAATACTTACGTATCCAGTTAAATGAATTGGTCTCAAAATTCTGGACTGTTTTTTGTACTAAGCTGCGCAACAGGGCGGAACCCAGTCAACAGGAAACGAGACTGTTGTGTATTCAATGTTTTTACTTGCTTGTTTGTGTGCGTCTCTCTCTATCCCCCCCCTCTCTCTCTCTGTCTCTCTGCAGACAGTCCAGTGACCAACAGCATGAGCATCGATCTACGCAGTTGGGATGCTCTTTACAATGAGATCCTTATACATTTTTGCAACTTATAATGTTTATTGTATATTACATGTCTTTCGGGAAATAAAATGCTGTTTAAATCAGATGCTTATACATAAGTTCAGTAAACTAAATTCTTATCGATCATTACAAACAAGCAATATTTACAGCCACAGTCAACTTAAGTCATTTTAGTATAAGCTAAATCAGTGGTATTTTCAAACACGTTTCACATGTTGGCAAAATAGGCACAAGAAACAAACGTCTCCTGGTGATCTTTGTTACCACCAGGAATCGATTGCTTCGTGTGCCTGTTTTGCCAGCATGTGAAACTTGTTATGAAATAACACTGATATCGCTACGACATAACTCGTAGTGAGAACCTGGGTCAGACATTGATACTACGAGTATACTCGTGGTGGCAGTCAACGTGTTAATTATGTTATTTATCCACCCCTGTTACAGAGCATTGACCAGACAATGTAGTTTTAATATTGTTTCTATGTTCAAAATTCTCAGCATGTCCAGCTTCGTTTAAGCATAAAACACTACTTGAATCACAAATAACCAAACTTTTGAACAAATTAACTCTTTGACGTGATCTGTGTATTCATTACTTCCACAGAATTTCTGCATTAAAATAGAACATTTCGTCCTCGTCAACAGTGACAATCCTGTTTCATGTCAAAGTAACCGAACCTTTCAGCATGATACATGTTTCAATAAGACATATTTGAAATTAGCGACTTGAGCGACTACTTGTTGTTAAAACGGTTCCTTAAGATGAATGAGTAACTAAGCGTATGGATGGTGGAAAAGGATGAGTCATTGGACTATGAATAATTTATTTTCAAAGAATTGTAAAACAAAATAATGGCTTTACGGCTTAGATGACTAATTCATAAAGAAGCAGACAAACTAAATGTATTCGCATTTATCAAGCATGGTGACTGATCAGGTGATAAATGAAACTTTAACAGGAAGGTAAGGACTAATTGTGAATACAGCCAAGCATAAAGTGTAATATGAAACATATTTTCAACGTTTATAGAAATACTGTACAAAGAAACGTTTAGATATTAGACTTCATAAGCACCTATTCGCTTTTTTAAAGAACGTTCATTGATTTCAAAGTGGATATACAGGTACATAATGATTTATATAGTATGACCAGAAATTATTGAGAATTTTAGGAATATGTTTCATTGGATTTCTAGTATAAACGACTTTGACCAGCTATCAAGGGCATGGTTTCATTCAAGAGAGACAACTCCGTTAATCCTTTTTCATTAGTTTGTGAAGAGTTATCCCCCTTTGTTTACTTGCTAGCAGACGACATTTTCAATGATCCTCAGTATGGATGATTATGAGAAGAGGAAGTTGATTTTAGAGTATTGAAACAAGGACATCAGATCAGCTAAAGTGATTTCAAGTAGAACAGGCATCCCTTTGTCCACTGTTTATCGTGTTTGAAAAATATTGCAAATGGATATGGCATTGAGCACCTGGGAGGCGCAGGTAGGCCCAGAAAATTGACTGTTGGTGACAGGATGCGGCTTGGTATTCTTGTTTCTAAAAACAAACAAAGGAGTTTAGAAAACTTAAGGCTTGATATGACTGATAGAGGAACTGTGGCTGTCTGTAAGGAGACAATTAGAACTGAGCTGCATGCAATGGGTTGGCAGAAAAGTCGAGGAATTCCATCACTGATCATGAAACCTGAACAAAAGGAGCGAAGGTTGAACTGGTGCTTACAGCATAGAAATTATAACTGGGACAATGTGATTTTCTCAGATGAAAGTTCTGTGTGGCTGTTTCCTAATACACTGAAATTCTGGACCAAACAAACTGAAAAACCTTTGTATCAGCGCCCAAAGTACAGTCCGAAATTTAGCGTGTGGGCTGGCATATCTGTGTTAGGGACAAGCCCCTCTGTGTATTTGAAGGGAATATGAACAGTGAGCGGTACACAGATATTCTCGAGGGACATTTATTTCCATCTGCTCACGTGTTCCATGGAAATTTTTGCATTTTCCAGAAGGACAACGACCCAAAACATCGTTCAAAGCATTCACAGGCCTGGTGTCGGACCCAAAATATGACCTTAATCCAATAGAAAATGTTTGGGGACTTATGAAGGAAAGTGTCAATGAGAAAAATCTGACAAATATTGCTGAAATGAGAAGAGGTGGTCCGATATTGGGACAGCATGGACCACGACTTTCTAACTTCTTTGATCAGTAGTATGCCCCGCCGCATTGAAGCCTGCATTGCTGCCCATGGTGTCTTGACAAAATACTAACTGTTCTCCTGTCTTTGAATCTGGAGTTATGTTCTGCTAGTATTCACATATAATACGTGAGTAATGAGTGAAAGTTTTTTTAAAATTTACAAATTTATAATTTCATGTTGTACTGTATGATTGAATCTACTACTGAGTAGAACTAACGTCTAGGTGTTGACATATGGATCATCTCCACTAACAGAGTTAGCATAGAAATGCCCTTCACTGCTGGTTATGTGGCCGTAATTATGTTCGTCACCAGCGACGCCTGTGTTGCGTTGTATACCATCGTAGACATTTGGTTCATCATGGCCAACAGACGTTCCAGTATTCGATGAAGTGTCATGCTTCTTCCTGAATGGCTTCACCACCATGCTGCAGTGATACACATTTGACAATGTAGACAATTGATATGTTCAACAGCTGAACGTACAACAAAATACCATAGTGGTGTTTGTAAAGCAACTTTTAGTGCATTTTAAAATTTTCCTTTTTCTTCTAGTTTTACTGTAACTTTTCCTAAATCTTAGTTTACAAACTTTCATCCATTCACAATGAATAACGAATTTATAGGCTACACAACAATCAATTATAACTTTCATTTTTCCAAATAAGGTATCTTGTTTTTGGATAGAAAAACACCTGTTTTAAATATAGGCAATTATCCTAATTAAAATACTGAAACTGGTAATTTCAATGATGTTTTCGTTTTTGAAATGTTAAATGCTTGCTCTAGCAAATTATAAAGGTTAATTCTTGGAAAGAGTTTAGAATTTCATTTCAGACAAAAGTAATTGGAAAAAATACAGGGTGGTGCTTATTTTATGCACAGATGTATACATTTACTCAGTCTCTCTCTTCATTACAAGGTGACTCGGACTGTCCAAGACAGGGCAAGCTCTTTACCAAACGTGGAACTACAACGATCGCGAACGTTCTGCTGACTTTCAAACCCGCACCACTTTGTTAGTGCTGACGGTATATTTTTAAGGTGTTCCAACCTGCTCCGGCCAGACACATATCACCTGTCCCGACACCATATTTGTTATTCGTTTAAAGTTACACCATTCCATGGTCTCGTGTTGTATCTCGTGATGGGAGAATTACCGTAAACTACCCATCGGCGATTCACCCTTTAACTGTTATCCTCGCATTTGTCAGACATCCCAATAGTCAGATAAGTTTAAAACAACAAACCATCTAGTTGAGTGCACAGCTAATCCCCTGCCTGTTACCTCTTAATGAAATAGGACTGGCCCATAAAATAAATAACAGAGCATAACTTCATTGAACTCAGGCCGATATCATTGGCATATGAGGTACAACTGAGTAAATATTGTGGCGGAATAGTAGTTAGCCAGAAGATTTTACAATTTGCATAATATATTTACAGAATTTACTGAGATGAATTTTCATAACATATATCCTTTTACATGTAAAGAGCGATTTAAATTTTAACATATTTGGTCTGATTATAAAGGAAGCTAGTATATACATTGATCTTTCTTTTCTAAAATATTTGCATTTAAGAATATAATGAAACTCATCACCCACTACACTCATACAACATAATTTACATTTTCTTTCATTTATTGGTATGGTGTTCCATAGAATTTCAAAAGAGAATGGAATTTTCCACCTCTGAGCCTCTGAGTATGAAGATTACATAAAATAGAATATAAGATTGAAGATAACTAAGATGAATTGATTGTAAACAATTTAGACCAAAACGTTAACATATGAGTTTTAACATCAACAGAAAGTGGGACTCTGCCTAATTCACAATACAGCATATGTAGCGAGGTACATTTCTTCACAGGTAATAATCTTCTCATAAAACATATATGTACATTTTCAATTTCAATATTGGTTTCACAATTGAATCAAAGAGATATAGTTGTCATGGTATCGATAAGTATTACCTTAGACTTTTGCGTAAAACAAAATACATGACTTTAGTAACTTACTGACAGAGATTTGATTAAGATCATTTGAAAGAACATTTTCTATCAAAAATAATCCAAGATATTTATACACCATAACAGTTTTCCGTAGGTTCAACTAACTGGTTGAAATATCCAATTGGGACATTCCCATTTATATATGGGTGTTGCCCTAATTAATACCTTGTCCAGTGTCTGACAATTGGGATGTCTAACTATGGGACGTCTAACTAATGGGAGTGAACCCTTTAACTAATACTTGAAGAGTCTTTTAGATTCTGTTACTTCCAGTTATTATGTTCTATGTCCCTTGATTAATTACCAAGCAGTGATAGCATCAATACTATCACGAAATAACCGCAATTCTCAATAATGGGTTTGTCATACTTTTGCTGTTTAAAAGATACGTTATATCCTTATAACAGTGGCACTGTGTTTGATATGTGCATCAAAGACAATATGAAGTACTTACAAGTATATGACGAGGACTACAATGATGAGCACCAGAATACCACACACCACTGCCAAGGCTGTCACAATATCCTCACTGTTTCCTGAAACATATGTGTATTGCAATACGTTCAGAAAATACGTGCAGTCTTGAGAAAGTTGAGGACGTCAGCTTTCGTATGTTTCAGTTCACTGTTCCAGTATAAAATTAAGCGTCATGATTTGGGAGAATCCTGATTGTGGCCATCGGATGTTGGCTTTCATTATCCGTGCAAAGAATATTAGTGGTATAGCCTGTTCTGTTACTGGGAAACACCCTAGGGACTTCCTCAAAGAATGACCATAACTACACGTACTTTAACACGGTCGCAGCCATCACTTTTATTAGCAAGGGACATCACTCTGTTATTGACATACCACTACTAGGATACCCTACATAGCCCACTCATTTACTCCATTAGTATTATTGTATTATAGCATTTAATATTGAGGTGGTTTTCACATTATATTCATAAGAGGCGATGTACGGGATCGGATGGTCAGCCTCGCTGACTTGGTTAACACATGTCACCGTATGGCATTTGCATAGATCGATGCTCATTCTGTTTACGAATATATTGTCAGGTCCAGACTCGATTATTCATAGACCACCGCTATTTAGCCGGAGTATTGCTTAGTGGGTTAAACAACAAACAAACAAACCTGACATTCAGAGATTATCATATCTACCACTGTTTAATTTGAATAATACTTGTTTATTTTATTTGGCACATCCTCCGACGCCATCGCCAGCGGTTGAAAGGAAGGTGTCAATCCTGCCGGGTACTATACATGTACCAGGGTTAGTGTAAGTATAACTTGTTATTGTTGTTATGTTGTTATATTGTACTGACAAAAAAAGGTGAAACTTTAGAATACTTTGATAAACATGTATAGTTTTAAATATAATGTGTGATAATTTAGTTTTTTTTTCTGTCCACCATTGATGCTTCTGACATGACTTTAAATTTTCACAAACTCACTTCCAGTTACATATATATTGCAATGATCGAACACGTGCAGCTCGTTCAATTATTATTTACATTAATAATGATAAAAGTCCTGAAAAAGAACACTCGAATGTACAATACTGCAAGCTGATGGTTGCTCCAATTTAATCTATTCTAGACTTGCGCTGGAAGGCAACGTTTACGAATGTGATTAAAATAAGATTCCTACTACTAGGTGCTTGTTTGTGTTCGCGCCTATAAGATAAAGACTGGATGTATACTCCCCATCAAAAGTTTAGACTCACTACTAGTGAAAATGTAGCCATTTACTTCAGTCAACTGATCTAAACTAGATTTTGTTAAATATTCTATACAGTTTAAGGGTACTGTTTACACATGAATTGATGTATTGTAATACAAATTCGTAACGTTGAAAAGTTTATTGTCATGAATTCAATAAATGATGAAACTCAGTGAAAATTGAAATTCTTAACAAAACTTTACACCAAAACGCAGCTGTTCACATAAACGATATTTGCACATACATTTCAGCAAGTTGATGTATGATCCTCGTGCAATTCATCTGCATAAGGTTTAGAGTTGGTTCCCCCAAGTTATAATTAGTGGAGAAATTCATCTTCGATGTAACCATGTATATACATAACATATAGTGAGTGTTTTAAGTGAGTCTAAACTTTTGATGGGTAGTATATTACTAGGTAACAACAGTTTACTGTCATTCAGTTATAGTGGTTTGTACTAAAACTCTTCTGGCCAGATGTAGTTCTCACTATATCGACATGAAACTACTAAACTGCATAGAGTGTGTGTAGTTACAAGCGATAGACCAATATTGTGTGTACACACCGTGAATAATACGTAATTGCGTATACTTACTTGTGTCTGTTGTTGAAACTGCTGTTGATACCATCGTTGACTTGGAAGTCAACTGGGTTGCTATATTCCCTGTCGAACGAGTAGTTTGTCCACGCGTAGATGTAACGGTCGTAAAGGACGCTGCAACTTGAGAATTTTTTATCAGATGTAGTTCCAAGGAAGGTAGATAAATCATGTATATGGTAGCTTTGTTTCTTTCCATTTATGTATTATCTTTTCGAGGACATTTTTAAATGTGTTAAATGAACTGGTGCATCCCTGCATGAAAAGGAGTAGATACATTATTTAGGCTACTTTAAATGCATTGATGATGCTCCGCAGTGAAAACATGCTCAAATAGCTGTCGACCACACAAGTTAATGAACCATGACCTTCAGAGATGTTCACACTCACACAGGCAAAAACACTACAAATGCATGTATGCGGGCAAATATCTCTGTAAGCAGCTGAAAACGTTTGAAGCATGGCGAGGTCCATACAACGCCACTATACACTCACCAATAGATGTAGAATGTGTCGCTGTTTCAGTTCTTGGTGTATCCGAAGTACTTGGACCAGATGCACTCTGTGAACGTGGCTGCTGCTGTGTTGACGTAGGTGTGGTTGATGTATCCAGTATTTCTCCGCTGATCGTTATGTTCATTTGACTTGAATCTATGAACAAGTTATTTTTACAACAGTCTCTAAGTCCAAGTTATGTGTTAACCGTTAAGAGATACGATTTCTGCAAGTGGTGGGAAATCAGCAGAGCCACGAAAGGCCATATGTAATTCAGTTAAGGAGGATTAGGACGCAAAATACATTACTGTGAATACAGTACGCTAAATATGATTTTGGCATCAGTGTATTAATTGATTGCTACCTGAAACATGTATCCATAGATTTGATCCATTCTGATCATGGTTGTCGTAGACTATAACTATTTCGGCAGCTGGTCCCGGTAATACCCTGTTGTACTGGTTCACGTTCACGTTTGTCAAGAGTTGTCTCCCGTCACCTGAGATGTTAAGCATCCCTGACCTCATCCGCTCCTCTACCAATGTTACTTCTATACTCTGCCCGTTGATCCTAACAACACAGCTGCTGTTCACACCGACACTGTCAGGGAAGCCGGGAGAATGGAGGTACACCGACCCGTTTACTGTTGTTGTGACTGGACTACACATGTTCATACTACCTGAAACACAAGGCATATGACAAGTAGGAGAAGGTTTGTATTGGGTTTCAAATTTGAGACATATGTTATGGGTCACATAAGAGAAGAGAGAACTGCTCACACGCATGTTCGATTTTGCTTTGGCTTCATGTTGATCAAGGTTGAAATGAAGGGAACTAGCAGCTCAAATTCAAGAACCAACGCTCATAAGTTACTGTCAATGTTATTGATATGTATTGTTACCAGGATAAGGATGTTCTGTCCTACTGGCAACACTAAGGTCAAAATCTAAATTACAGTTGGCATGAAATTCAACGATAGTCGAAGTAAAAACAAAATTATTTAAAATTCGCATATGAATTAGTAGTTGACAGCTTCCTGCGGTCGGTGTTTACTATATATATATATTGCTGATGGCAAAGTTTTGGGTTTTTGTTTGTTTGTTTGTTTTGTTGTTCTTCTTTTCATATTTCATGGTACATGGAAACATGTATTGATAAGTTTCATAATAATACAATGGTATATGTATACATGTATATATATGACTTGACTTGGCTGAAAATGTACAGTTGGCAGGATAATGTAATAAATGTAAAGTTGACCAATATTGAAAACACAATCGCTCAGTTCCCGTTCATAGATAAACATATCTTGACATGTCATAGTGACGGACTATTTCATGTTATAAATATTCTTACTTTGGTCTGAAACCATTTACGCTGCATCTATAGATGTACTGTTTGACTACTGAAATGATTTCATTAATAGGATTATTGTTCTTTCCTTTCATTCCCAATATAACGACTTTATTTGTAAATTCCAGTTGTAACTGTACTGAGTTCAACCATGATTCTATTTCTTTCCATAATTTAAAAACAGATTCACATTCCCACAACATATGGTTGATAGTTTCTCTTTCTGTTTCACAAAATGGACATATTGGTGAACCTGTGTATCCAATTTTATAAAGTAATAGCCTTGTTGGGAGAATATTGTGAATAATTCTATAGTGCATCCATTTCAAGTCTATGCTTCGCGTACATTTATTTGCAATAACGTTAAGACATTTCCAGTCATTTTCAGTAAAATCATTCTGTAGAACTCATTTTAAAAAGCTTGGAAACCGAACAAATTTTGAAATCAAGAGGGAGGTGTATAGTTTTATACTCCCAATTTTGGTGTCAGTTTTTGAAACATTAAAAGGATAGATGGGTTCGCATAATTTCTTTTTAAATTTCTTTATATTCAGTGTTCGAGCATATGTTATAATGGCTTTTTTCATCGATTCATACGGTTAAAACATTATATTTTATTGAAAACGTATTAAGAGGGAATTATTGCATTTTGTATAAAGTAACTATCCATTAGAAAAAATAGAGTCCTGATATTACATTGACTGGTGTAAAGAAACGTCCATTTGAGGTCATGACCGCTTATTCTTTTTATCCATTTTAGTTTTTGTGAAGATATACTGACCAGCATTGAAAATACACCAGTTCATATTTTCATCAAGATGAATTTCTGCATGACAATTGCCAATGAATAAGACTAACATGAAGTCAGAGGGTATGTCCAGTTGAAAAAATGTTTTGGAAACGAGTTTCTGTTCACAATATGAATCTTAACTCCAAAACGCAACAACATGCATCCACGTCCTGGAATTATGCTGACTGTGACCTTAAAAGCAGGTGTATGAGAAACTATTCTCATTGCTTTACTAACGATTGTGAAACGAGGACAGAGATGCCAGGGATAACACCTCAGGAAAGAGAATGTGCACTAGGCATGATTCAGGCTGGCACCAGCAGCAGGGATATTGCTCGACGACTTGGATGTAGCTACTCCACCATCGTTAGGCTTCATAGCAGACAGACAGCACCCGTGACCTTCCACGACCTTGGCAGCAACGTGTCACGACGCCCCGTCAAAATCGCCATATTGTCCATGACCATGTCCGTGATCGAACACTGCCGGCTTCCAGGGCTGCTGCACTAGTTCAAGGTCGATGTGGGGTCACCGGGCAACGCCGTGGACACGCCGCCGAGCTCCATGCCCGACGTTATTACATTGGACCAATTCTGACTGACAGACACCGTAATGAGCGTATACAATGTGCTAAAAGACATGTTCCATGGAGGTTACAACGTTTGCATCGACGTAATGCTCACGCCCGATTATGTGTTTGGCGTAGACGTGGTGAACGTTATGCTGATGAGTGTGTGGTTCAGACAGACCTTTTGGGGGTGGGAGTGTCATGGTCTGGGATGGACTAAGTTACAATCACAGAACTGCCTTCATGTGTGTCAAGGGAGAGTTAATGCCCTTTATTACCGTGACCAGATTTTTAAGAATTAGGTCGTGACGTTCTTCAATCACCACCAAGATGTCCATACTTTTCAATAGGACAACGCACGGGCATACACAGCTAGTCTATTCATGCAGTATCTGGCCCAGCAACACATCCTGGTAATTCATTGGCCAGCACTGTCCCCATATTCATCCTCTATTGTGCACTTGTGAGACGAAATTGGTCAACGTCTTTCTCGGCGACAACAGATGCGAAACATCCGGGAACTTGAGGCTGCACTTCTGAAGGAGTTGAATGCCATCCCCAGAACACTATTCTCACGCTTGTTGACTCAATGAGGAGACGTTGCACTGCATGTGTTAATGCAAACAGCGGTCACACGCAATATGGACTTTTCGATTTGACCCCACATGTGTTTGATCCTTTCAGGCTGTGAAACAATTAAATGGATTAGCGTTTTCTCTGTGCTGTTGTTTTTGTCAGTCGTCCATCTGTTATCATCCACTAAAAAACTACCAATTGCTTACGTGTGCTTTAGTAATCTCAACTTGTGTAAGTGGTGCGTTTTCAATGCTAGTGAATATATATGTTTTCTAATATTTGGACTTTTTATACCCCCTTGTTCTGGGTCATCATTAAATCTCTCTTAATCTTATCAGGTTTGTTTTTCCAGATGAAATTAAAACACTTATTTTGCAGTCTTTCACTGACAATTTTTTCAGGATTTAGTAGAGATGAGAATAAATGGTTCAGCTTAGTTAATAGAAGTGCTTTAAGAACAGTATTTCTTCCATACGCGGCTAAGGTACGAGCTAATCAAATGTTTATTTGCCTTTCAATCTAAGATAGTTTTTCGTTTATTTCAACCATATTATCAACATCAATATCGAAATGTATTCCCAAAAGCATGAAGTCTGTTTGTGACTAGTCGATATTCCATTCTTTACACATCTTATATCGGAATCTCTTTTTGGAACCAATTATTAGTTTAGTTTTATCTACGTTGACTTTCAATCCTGAAAAACGGGCAAATAGTTCTAAAGTATTCAACACTGCATATAAGCTTTTCTCCGATCCATCTAATGTAAGAGTTGTTGTATCATCTGCGAACTGTGACAGGAGATATGTTATATTTCCAGGTTTAATCCCCTTTATATTTTTGTTATTTCCTATCATGATACCCAGCATTTCTACACACAGCAGAAAGATGTACGGCGCTAACTGGTCCCCCTGGCGGCATCCACCAGCTATTTCAACAGGAGTTGACGCAAATCCATTTACCAAGACTCTCGATTCAATATTGTTATAAAATGTTTCTATCCAATGTGAGATACTGGGTCCAAAATAAAACAAAACTTTAATACCTTGTTGAGGTAGTGTCTATCTTTTCAAAATCAGCGAGAAGAAGTAGGCCAGGTATATGGCAGGTTTCGGTGTTTTCCATTAGGACATATATAAGGCTAGTTACCTCACCAATATATCTTCCCGTGACAAAACCCTTTTGGTCTTCATTAATAATACTAGGTAATACCTTTTTAATTCTGTTTGCAATTGCTGCTGCGCGAACTGTGTATGAGGTATTTAGTAGGGAGATAAGGCGCCAGTTTTTCAATCATTTCTTAGGTGTATTAGTTTTAGGCATGCATGTTAACAATC